AGCCGATCGGCCTCTCCCTTAGGTAAATCCGCCCATGGTACATGTAACGCGTCGAGCAGGGGAACGACCTCGGCTCGGGGAGTCGGGCCGACTCGCCAGGCCAGGTCCTGGTCACCCTCAGGACGCCCGGGGTCCTCAGCCCAGAGTGCGAACACCGAGTCGTTAGAGTGGCGTGCGTGCAGGGGGTGTACGGTGGCTATCGGGGTGCGCCGTCGCAGTATCGCTGGGGTATTGTGGGGGTTAAACATCCGCATAAACAATCGGTCCCCATCTGCGTTTACCAATGTGGCGGATCCCACTATCCCATACCGTTTTGCCAACTCCGGGTGAGGAGTTAGCATTACCTCTCCTGATGGTCGGAGCGCGGGGTCGGTGGGGGATGTTGCCACTGGCACCAGCATCTCGGTGAGCGGTCCGATGGTGACGGCCGACACCAGCGTAGCGGCCACGGGTGTGAAGCGTGGGCGATTCGGCTCCCGTCCTAGGAACGGAATCCGCTCCCCACTGCCCTCCACCGTAGCGCATCGTTGCCGGGGCTGTACGTTAAGTCCCAACTTTTCCAGGAGGTCCGTTCCTGCAATGCACTCGTGGCACAACACACTCGACACGTAGAATTCCTGTGTGCACACCTGGTTTCCTAGACGGACCTCGAGGGAGACCTTCCCCAGCAACCCCATCCCGGCTCCGCTTGCCGTGTGCAGCGCGCGGTCCGGGGCCTGCAGGTGGCGCACGTCGACCCCGATCGCGCTGCAGTGCGCTGCACTCACGAGCGAGGCCACCGCCCCCGTGTCCAGCAGAATTCGGGTACGCACTCCGTTTACCTCCCCTTCCACCAGCGACGTGGCCCCCGTGATCCCCGCCACCAGCTCCCGTAGCCAGTCGCCAGGAGTCACCGTTTCTGTGGGCGTTGTTGCTGGAACCTGTGTGGAGATCACTCGCTCGCAATTATTCTCACAGCTTGTTTGTGTCGGGGCCACGTGGATTTCACCCCCCGGTGGTCCCCTCTCTAGGGGGGCCTTAGTGTTTGACCTTAGCTCTTGTCTAGCTCGGGCGACCTGAGGACAGTCCCTCCTGAGATGCCCTCGCCGATCGCACACATAACACGCCCGGGGAGGGGTGGCGGCTCCGTAGTGGGCTCTCTGCCCACTCCCTCCTCCCCCAGTGCGCTGCTGCTCATACTCTGCTTCTAGTCGCGCTATCCTTCCAGTTAGCCCTCCTACCGTGGAGTCTAGTTCCCCCATCTCGGATCGGATGGTCTCAACGGAGGATTGCAGTTTGGTCATATTTTTATTTGCTTCCTCGCGTACCTGAGTTACCCTCTCACCTACTTGGGTTATCATATCTCCCATGCTGGCCTGTAACCCGGCTACCCACCCCGGGGTCGTCTCGCTGGGTCTCTGTGGCTCTCTTTCCCGGCCCCTTACCGTCCTCGCGAGCTCCTGTTCCTCCTCCTCGTCTTCCGAGAGCAGGCTCGCAATGGCGCGCTCTCGTCCCAGCCCCCGGAGCTGCGCGCGTTCGCTGTGAATTCTTTCACACTTACGTGCGCGCTCGACAAGGGCGTTAAAGGGAAGACGTGGGCAGCTCATGTCTGGCTGCCACCACGCCGTGCGAGACAGGTACCGCTGGATTTTCTCGGCGGCCAGTTCCTCAATAACATCAGTTGCGTACCCCGGGCGTGCGATCTTTGTTAACTCGCGCACATCCTCGGCGTAATCACGTAGATCTTCGCCGGGTTGGCGACGGCGCGCCTCTAAGGCCGATTTTGCTTCCTCCTCGTCACGCGTGCCAAAACGCTGATCGAGTCGGCGCATCAGCTCCTCTAGCTGTGTCTGTGCGCTCGCGGGTAACGCTTCTACAAAATCGGCTGCCCGCCCATCAAGATTCATATTAAGTTGACGTACTGCCTGCGCGTCCGTCCATCCATTAATTTCCTTGGCCCCTAAGAGATTGCGGGCGAATGCCTTCCACGAAGGGGCCCCCCGGCCGGTAAATATTAGTCTTATTTTAGCGTGAGGTAACGCGGGGGTCCGTACCGCTTCCGACACCAATTTGTGGGGGCCGTCGGCCCCCGGGGTCCCTCCCGCCTGCATCCCCTATTCCGTTTACGTTACCCCACCTCCCTATTACTCGCTACGGTTTCGCCGGCATTCGAATACGACGCCCCTACTGTTACAGCCTCGCGCCGCGCTCCCACGCTGCGAGCATACGTGCGCACATCATCGTCAATCAAACGCCGTGCTCGCAGTATAGCCCTGTGCGGCACGTTACCAATGCGCATCCGTATCCGACATGTAACGAACGTATGCACACACACACACGCCGCTCCGTGCACTCCAACTCCACACCAACTACGCAAGTTATGATCGCGCACCTGTATCACACACGGAGTGAACACACGCGACACCCACTCTTGCGCCGCTCTGCGCAGCGCTCGCCGTCTGCTGGCCGCTTGCGTTATGATCGCGCACCTGGGGTACGCCTATTACGCACGCCGCGAGCTTACGCACACACAGTACCACACGCGTTCCCACACGCAACCCGCGCGCTCAGCTCCGCGCAGCGCTCACTCACGTGGCGAACCACTGTGCACACAGCGCACCCACACGCTCACACCTGCACGACAAGATCACGCGAGACCACGCTTCGCTATTAATGATTTATTATATGCCACCTGCGAATTGATGTTGAATCAGTGAGTCGACGAGGCTGGCCTATTCCACTAAACCTGTACCTATTCCCTATTTATCGGCTATGATTCTAATTCACCTTCTTACTCACTGTTAAGTGTCCACGGCGGTCCGCTGATCCTTGTGTTAACCGCGTGCCTCGGTGCGTCGCACGGACGTCCGGGTCGCTGGCTCGAGCTGCGTCTGGTCGCCTGGCGCTGGAGTAAGAGAGCGATTTCCCCTCTGCGCTCCTCTATTTATCCTCCCTACCTCCAAAGGGGATGCTGCGCTGAACAATGGGCTCGTGCACCCCAAGCCCGCGCACGGCAGTCCCCAGGCGCTGTTGATATGCTAATCAGTGAGCGACGTTGGCGGCGTACATCCTAATTACTCCCTTACCCTTCCTAACAATGGGGCCTGCGCGCTCAAGCACAATTATCCCAACCCCCCATGACTATGCGCAACAGCCCCTGTGACCCCGCTATTCATGCTGTCTCGTGCCTCCCCTGCTTGCCCCGTCGACTCGTGGGGGTGTGTGTGGGGGGAAATGCGCCTCAACCGCGGTGGCCGAATGCCCCACGCCGCGACCACACCATATTAAGGCCGGCAGCAGCGCCGCGGTACCACGTAGCACGGGGGAGGTCATCCAATTCCCTGATCGCCGGAAACCGTGAGAATTAATCCCGATAAGGGTCTCTCGGATAAAAACCGGTCGATCAGGTAACCTTCCCTTCCAGCTCTATGGGGGGGGGGGGGGGGGGATGCGTGCGGGTGTGTGCTTATGTGGGGCGGGTGATTGGGGGCAGTGCGGTGGGGGAAGCCGGGCGGCTCCCTGGCTCGGCAGAGCGGCCCCGTCGCTGTGGCACCACAGTGTCGTGAATATCATGATTTCTTTCATTCATTCATGTGGAAGCAGATGAAGACTCGCCAACTCAACAAGCAAACGTCCAGCACGCTCACAACAACCCAGGACATGTGCTCCATTCAGAGCGTGTTTGGCAACACTGGCGCAAGCAGTTTCGAAGAGGTGGGTGGCTCTGAAAAGAGCCTTTGGGTTGGCTTAGTGTGCGAGAGATGGGCGCTCAGCCTCCGAAGCCGTAGAGAGTGCGGCCCTGGCGCTTGAGGGCGTAGACCACGTCCATGGCGGTGACGGTCTTGCGCTTGGCGTGCTCCGTGTAGGTGACGGCGTCGCGGATGACGTTCTCAAGGAAGACCTTCAGGACGCCGCGGGTCTCCTCGTAGATGAGGCCCGAGATGCGCTTCACACCGCCGCGGCGAGCGAGGCGGCGGATGGCGGGCTTGGTGATGCCCTGGATGTTGTCGCGCAGCACCTTGCGATGGCGTTTTGCGCCTCCCTTGCCGAGCCCCTTACCGCCTTTACCGCGTCCAGACATTGCGACTACTTGTGACAAAGCTCCTCGCGAGAGACTGCGCGCTCAGCTTGCAGCAGCAGCCGCCTTTATACCCGAAGCGTGGCGACGTCACCGACCACCCCTGCCCTCCGCGATGGCTCCGCCTTAAACCTTCCACCTTTAACCTCTGCGACGAAGAAAACCCTCCACCGTCGTCAATAACACTTCCTTGACATGTATAATATGCGACGTTTTGGGCAATGACCCTTCTTCGAAGCACTCTGGAATGATATTGGCACACCCGCAGCGAACGCCAGAGGAACGCCATCTGTTGCAAGATTGCACGTGGAGTGAATAATCGGTGTAAGGTCTTGTTTGCAAGTGAACAAGATGAACTAACTTTATAATCGTGTGAAGCTTAACGGCTTCCAACACAATAGTTGAGTGAACGTCACCAACTAGTTGTCCCAAAGTAAGAAAGACATTGCAAACAATGCGATATTTACGTATATAAATTAATTTTATAGAAGTTTAAATGGTGCACCGCAATGTTTACAAAACAAAAACAAAGTGAAAATGCGGAACGAGCGAATGAAGGCAAAATGAGTAAAGCTGTCTGGAATCAATACATTTTTAGACTAAATTCCATATTTGGCACCAGTAGCATGATGACGGAATGAAGAGGTGCAACACATAATCAAAATTGGAGGTTCGTCAAGAATGCATCGATTTTGAATCTGGATTTAGATTAGAATCGCCAGCGAGAATGCTGACGTCGCTGAGATTATTACTCTGCACTCAGTTCGAGTGAGGGAGCTGCCACCCGCCTCGCCTGTGTTTGTGATCCCTGCTTTCGGGCTCGATCACTCCCATCACATCAATGCTTAAAACACATCGAGTGGGTGAAATGTTAGACAGTTAATTTGAACTAATTGAAGCGCAGCAGCATCTGGTTCACTTTTTGAACGAAGTGGGTGGCTCTGAAAAGAGCCGTTGAGGTGGAGTGAATCGAGCGTCGGTCGTCCCATCGGATTCACTTCTTTGGCGCAGTCTTCTTGGGCTTGGCCGCGGCCTTCTTGGGCTTGGCCACCTTGGGTTTGGCGGCCTTGGCCTTGACGGTCTTGGGCTTAGCGACCTTGGGCTTCGCAGCCTTGGGCTTGGCTGGGCTCTTCGCCGCCTTCTTGGGCTTAACAGCCGACTTCACCTTTTTGGGGCTCTTGGCCGCCTTGGCAGCCGCGGGCTTCTTTGCTTTCTTGGGAGACTTCTTGGGCGCGGTCTTCTTGGCTGCCGCGGGCTTCTTCACCTTCTTGGCTGCCGCGGGCTTTTTAGCTGCGGGCTTTGCCGTTGACGACTTGGGCTTCGCCTTTGCGGCAGCCTTTTCCTTGTTGAGTTTGAAAGAGCCAGACGCGCCGCTGCCCTTCACTTGCGCCACGGCGTCTTTGGCCACGAGCTTCTTGATGGCCAACTTCACGCGGGCATTGTTCTTCTCCACGTCGTATCCTCCGGCAGCAAGCGACTTTTTGAGCGCAGGAAGAGACACGCCGTTCCTCTCCTTGCTGCTGGCCAGAGCCTTGAGGATGAGCTCGGACACGCTAGGGCCGACCTTCTTGGCCTTTGGAGCGGCGCGCTTCTTCTTGGGGCTTTTAGGCGCTGAAGTAGCCGCAGCTGGTGGTTGAGCAGGAGCAGTTTCCGCCATCTCAAGACGTCGCTTTTATCGCCTCGCCTCTTGGAAACCGAAATCAGCGCTCTCACGAATTCGAACCGAGCGTCCTCCAGGCCCGAGGTTATTATAGAAGCGGCGTACTGAATGCGGACGTCGCTGAGATCATCCAGCACTCAGCTCTAGTGAGGGAGTTGCCACCATACTCACTGTGTTTATCACGCCTGCCTTTGGGCTCGATTACTCCCGTAACGTTCATACTTACATGCATCTAGTTAATACATCATCACGAAGATCACTTCTTTAATGTACGTTACTTATGCAATATACGACAATGCTCACGATATAAATTATAATTCTAAACAAGTGAACAACCAACATTTGGGAGACATTGTTCGGTCAGGGCAAGATATGATGATTGTCGGTTTTCAAAAGTGTTACTGATGAACACTATTTAAAACGCACTCGAATTTTTTGCAAGACAAGATGCTTAAACATACTACTCATTTAATTCCAACGAAATATTTTCTATTTAAGTTTTGCCTCGCGCGCTCGCGATTCCTCCTCTCGCGCTATGGTGAGGACTGCGCGCCATGTCAATCGTCCCTTGTCACCGAACTTTTAACTGGACGTTTTAATCGAACTTTGAAATGAATAAATATATGGATTTTCAGATGGACAACAAACTGAAGAAAATTACTCAAAATTAACCGACATTAAATAGAAAGTTTAACATTTTACGTGGCAAGAGGTGAGTAGGTCACGCACTGCAGAAGGGTCGCGCGCTTTGAACAAGATCGAGGCACGGTGCACAATCATCACCACTCAAATTCAACTCAAGTGACTCCGCAGTCGAATGTTTAAAGAAAATATATAATCTTACGTTTAATGCATTGACAGAGTTGATATTCTAGGAGCGCAGGATGGTTCATGCGATGAGTTGTTTTTACTGCAATAAGTAACACGTATTTACTGCACTAAGTAACACGAATGAGTAATCATTGGAAAGATGTTATTAACCATGTAAAAAATATTTAACTACACATATTTGTACCATCTTATTTGACAGGTAATATTATACTTTACCGAGTGTTAACATCCCCAGCGTTTACCAGTACTTTTATGCTTACTATCAGCTAACACCGGCCACAACCCTGAGCTGATGTGCTCATTTGTTCTCTTTTAGCCCCGACACCCCCGCCACTTCCCGGCAACCACATTCAGATAAGCCCCCCTCTTCCCCCCTGATTTGTTATTTTATTATTTATATTGTTTTAGTTATTTATTATTATTGTTTTACCTACGTGACTTTACCGAAAAAACCTAAGAGTATGAATCATTGCAGTCACGAAAGCTACAAATTTAGAACGAATGCAATAATCATTCGTTCCACGCGCATGTGAAGAGGCGTAGTAGATTGGTTTATGCACTTCTGGTAGGAACGAAGTGGACCAGACTCCAATAGATTATATCGTGCGTCCGTTTGTCCGTCCGTCCGTGTGTCAACATCGCCCCCTACTGCAAACACTTGGCATGACCCTACAAAAACATTTAGACTCAGTGACGCTATCCTGGCTAACCAAGTGTAGCATTCCCTTATAATTCCCTCAGATAGCTTTTAATTACAATGTTACACTCCCTGATGTTTTTAAATAGCAACATTGACATTTAAAGCTTCAACATAAATAATTAAAACATTTATATTAACAATTAACCCACGGCGGCCTAAGGCCTACAGCTAGGCCTAAAGCCTAGACCTAGGCCTCAAGCTCTCCCTTCGTATAGTTCCCCCGCGTGTGTGAAAGGGAGTAAATGGTTAACAAGGTTACATTCCCTGATGTTTTTAATAGAAACATTTACATTTAAAGCTTTTTCATTAAAAACAACTCCCTACCTCCCCCGCCTCGTCGGCGGCTCTCCAGCCGAGCCAGGCCTGGGAATCTCTCCCCCGCTCGGGGTGTATTGGGCGGGGCTACAGCGGCAGGGGGCGGGGCTACGCGGCAGGGGGCGGGGCTACGCGGCAGGGGGCGGGGCTACGCGGCAGGGGGCGGGGCTACAGCGGCAGGGGGCGGGGCTACAGCGGCAGGAGGCGGGGCTACGCGGCAGGGGGCGGGGCTACAGCGGCAGGGGGCAGGGCTACGCGGCAGGGGACGGGGCTACAGCGGCAGGGGGCGGGGCTACGCGGCAGGGGGCGGGGCTACGCGGCAGGGGGCGGGGCTACGCTGCAGGGGGCGGGGCTACAGCGGCAGGGGGCGGGGCTACAGCGGCAGGGGGCGGGGCTACGCGGCAGCGGGCGGGGCTACAGCGGCAGGGGGCGGGGCTGGGCGGGGCTGGGCGGGGACACCGAGATGGGGCGGGGCCACGGGTGGCGGGGCGGGGTTACGCGGGTGGAGGGCGGGGCCACGGGGGCGGAGCGGGGCCACGGGGGAGCGGGGCGGGGTCAAGCGGTGGGAGGCGGAGCTTAGCGCGATGGAGGGAGGGGCCGTTGGCGAAAAGGGGCGGAGTCTACAGTCGAGAATACAGTACCGGGGGCGAGGAGGCGGGGCTAACAGTGATAGGGGCGTGGCCCACGGCGCTGCATCTCGTGCAGATTGTTACTACTCACTGTGTCTGCTCCAAGCTGCACTCACGTAGGTACATACTTGTGCAATACTATTATTTTTTTGCAGAACGGTTACTACTACTTTATTGTTTCTTATGTTCCACTACGTCTACGTTTCCATCCACTCATTGGCGCCCATTTTTTGCCATTTCATTTTATTATAGCCATTCAATTGTTCGGTCCTACCAGCCCACCCCACAGGGACCTGTTTTCACCAACGCACAGCAATATTCGTTCCAAGACCAACCCCGGGCACACGTCCCACAGCCCCTTTTAACTCCTCAATCTCCGCAACGCACAGCAATATTCGTTCCAAGACCAACCCCGGGCACACGTCCCACAGCCCCTTTTAACTCCTCAATCTCCGCAACGCACAGCAATATTCGTTCCAAGACCAACCCCGGGCACACGTCCCACAGCCCCTTTTAACTCCTCAATCTCCGCTCCCAATACACATTCGCGTCCAGCACGCCTGGTCCTGGTGACGTCACTGCCCTTTAACCCCTGACCCCCCCGTCCAGCTCTTATTTCCCGCGCGTGTGTGAAAAAAAATTAAGATTGATTGGTGCGTGTTGTCGTGAGAGCGGAGATGTCGTGTTTGCGTGGTGCGTGAGGGTGGCTCGCAGATCCCTTAAAGTGCTTGAACCATTCTCCGACTCCTCTTCATATGTAATCTGACCGCTCAAAAAGAGCGAGTTTTATTCTTTAAAAAAACACGATACTTTCTTCCAATAGGCACCTCAATTTATTCTAAACCATGTTCCATGATTGATGCAATGTTGGAATGCTGCTCAAATACCGTTCCTAAATTAGACATAAAGGGTATCTGGAATGAGCAGAGCATTCGTTTAATTGCGAGCAATTTGGGACGAGGGCAACTCGACGACGGTGTCCTTATTAATAACAAAACCCCTGTGCACGACTGTCCGAGCTCTTTGCAAGCAAGTGGGTGGCTCTGAAAAGAGCCGTTGTTGTGGTGGTAGAGGCGGCGGCGCGTTCACTTCTTTGCCTGAGAGGTCTTCTTGGGCAGCAGCACGGCCTGGATGTTGGGCAGCACACCGCCCTGGGCGATAGTCACGCCGCCCATGAGCTTGTTGAGCTCCTCGTCGTTTCGCACGGCGAGCTGCAGGTGTCGGGGGATGATCCTCGTCTTCTTGTTGTCGCGGGCGGCATTGCCAGCCAGCTCGAGGATCTCGGCAGAAAGGTACTCGAGCACGGCGGCCAGGTAGACGGGTGCTCCAGCGCCGACCCGCTGGGCGTAATTGCCCTTGCGGAGCAGCCTGTGAACGCGACCCACGGGGAACTGCAGGCCGGCGCGGGAAGAGCGGGACTTTGCCTTGGCGCGAGATTTGCCACCGGTCTTGCCGCGTCCAGACATCGTTAAGGGACCTAGGATGCAAAAAGCACTGGAGACAAAGTACGAACGATTTGTGACGTTAACACGCACCACGGGAGCGGCTTTTATAGCGGAGACGAGGATCGTAGAGCGCGCCGCTGCTGATTGGCTCCTCTCGGTCGAGTCCCGCCCTCTCCTTGAGCCACCAATGACAAGCCGGGACGCGAGGATTCGATGTTGACTTTCATCATTTGTATCCATATATATTTTAATGCGGACACGCATCTTATGAATTAAACAATGCGATACACGTACTTAATAGGTTCAAGTTTTAAGCATGATAGAGTTAATTTATGGGCGCGTGCTGGCAAGTCAAACTTATAAGCGGATTCCGCAAATATCAATGTATTATTGATTATAATCATCATTTTGAGGGACCGCATTGGTTATAAGAAATCATTGTGATAGCCTTGAGCTCGTGATTGATCGCCCACGTGCCTATACGGTGTATATATATATTCCTTTAACCGCCTGTTCGGGCAATGCCTAAAAATATATGTGCGTGAATAATTCAGTCTCAGTTTGCAAAATGTGAACTTCTTATCAGCTCGGGCTTGAAACAGCATAAACCAATATCTTTGGGTTTAATCTATATATATAAAATCGTGAATGTCTGTCTGTCTGTGTGTGGATATCGGACCATACGCACTTTCATTGGACGCCGGTTGCCCCTGGCAACGCCTAGCGACGCCGGTTGCCCCTGGCAACGGCTAGCGACGGGCTAGCAGTTGCGGGGCGGACGCCATCTTTAATTCCCGTTAAAAATAGGCGCACGCATTAACACGCGACTCTGAGGTAAATTCATCTAAGTTTCACGTCCTCTTTACTCCCCCCCCCCCACCACAATGTGTGCTATTACTATTATAGGGTCGGTAGATTATTAAATTATAGCGATTACACAGTATTATTGAAGCGCGGGGGGGGGGGGGGAAACGGCACCCGTACCCAGCGTCAGCCGGGTGGCAAAATCAGGCGAGGCGGGAGGCTCTGCACGGTGCGAGGCCTCCACACCCACCACGCGACTCTGAGGTAAAATACATTTCACCAAAATAACCCTTTTGTTGTACATTATGTAAACATGGTTTCACAACGCTTATATACAACACCAACGTGTGATGTTGAAAAATATGAGCGGCGGGGTATAGAAATGAACTTGATTGTCGCTTACGCCTGACGACTCGTGAGAGCCGTGACCAGCAAACGAAGGTTTCCGGCACCCGAACTTTGAAGGACACACATGGAAGCTTTCTCACGAGTAAGTGGTGGCTCTGAAAAGAGCCTTTGTGTTGTGCTTTGAGGGCCGAGCTGGGCGTTCAAGCGCGCTCGCCACGAATGCGGCGGGCGAGCTGAATGTCCTTGGGCATGATGGTGACGCGCTTGGCGTGGATGGCGCACAGGTTGGTGTCCTCGAAGAGCGCGACAAGGTACGCTTCGCTGGCCTCCTGCAGAGCCATGACAGCGGAGCTCTGGAAGCGCAGGTCGGTCTTGAAGTCCTGCGCGATCTCCCTGACGAGGCGCTGGAAGGGCAGTTTGCGGATGAGCAGCTCGGTGGACTTCTGGTAGCGGCGGATCTCGCGCAGAGCGACGGTGCCGGGCCTGTAGCGGTGAGGCTTCTTGACGCCGCCCGTGGCCGGAGCGCTCTTTCGGGCCGCCTTGGTGGCGAGTTGCTTGCGGGGGGCCTTGCCGCCCGTGGACTTGCGAGCCGTCTGCTTGGTGCGAGCCATGGCTTGGTGAGGGCAAAGATTCTCACAGGCGGGGAGGAGAAGGCGGCTTATGTAGCCCAGAGCGCGCGCTCACTGGTCAGCGGAGTCGTGACGTGCGAAGAAGGGGCGCGTGCTGATTGGTTGGCAGCGTGCAATGATCTCGAGTCGTCAACTCTTCTTCATCAACGAAATGTTCTCACTTTGGAGCATTGCAGAATGCCGCATCACGATGCAGTAGTACCGTTTGAGCGCCGTCCATGTCCTTAACGGATCTTATTTTCTCAAGCAAACACCTTTCCGAAGACAACTTTACAGTGCTCCGCGTGATCTAAATAAAGTGTGCAGAAACTGCGCTTCATTGGAAACAGTAATACGTAAAAAATATTCTTTGTTTCTTTCGGTAAAGTCACGTATAAAGAAAAAATAATAGCATACGACGTTTCGATTGCAACACAAGCAATCATCAAGTATAATGAAATAGCGACATAAAATCTAACCAGAAAAAAATTATAGACAGACATATAAGCAGACAGATATCACCAATTTGTTTCTTTATATACGTGACTTTACCGAAAGAACCAAAGAATAATTCCTGCAGTCACGAAAGCTCCAAAGTTAATACGTAAAATGTCGGAAAGGTGATCACAGGGATAGATATCTATTCTCTTGGCATTGAGATGATGATCATCAATTATACTGCACGAGTCATCCATGCTAGGCGCTTACTTTTACATAGATGCACACGTGCAAAATGTTAGTTCCTGCCCGAAAATACAACCACGAATTAAATATATTGCATTGCAAGGTTTTGGCACCAAATATCCAATGTAATATCTGAATGGGCTGCAGATGAAATCAATGGACAAACAAGTCCAAGAAATGCCTGCTGGTGAATGTGCCATGAATATTGTTATCGCTTTTATTCACGTGGAAACAGGTTAAAATGCGTTCCATCTCTCCATTCCACTCAATGAGCGAACAATGTCCCCGCGTGAACCGGGGCTTTGTTGGAAGTTTCGTTTAGTACTCCTGCTAGGACTGGTACAAGCAGGTTCGGAGAGGTGGGTGGCTCTGAAAAGAGCCTTTGTAATTAATGGTGGAGTCGAGGCTTCACTTGGAGCTTGTGTACTTGGTGACGGCCTTGGTGCCCTCCGACACGGCGTGCTTGGCCAGCTCGCCGGGGAGCAGCAGTCGCACTGCGGTCTGGATCTCCCGAGAAGTGATGGTGGAGCGCTTGTTGTAGTGCGCCAGGCGGGACGCCTCGGAAGCGATGCGCTCGAAGATGTCGTTGACGAACGAGTTCATGATGCTCATTGCCTTGGACGAGATGCCGGTATCGGGGTGCACCTGCTTCATCACCTTGTAGATGTAAATGGCGTAGCTCTCCTTCCTGCGGTGGCGTCGCTTCTTGCCATCCTTGCGCGTAGCCTTGGTCACAGCCTTCTTGGAGCCCTTCTTGGGAGCAGGAACCTTGGCCGGCCCAGCGCTCTTTGATGCGGGAGGATCGGGCATGTCGACGCGTCGTAGGCAGCAGCTTCAGGTCAGAACAGACGGGAAGCGAATGTGGATGTCGCTCGCGCGTTGAGCTCCTTTTATAGGAGGCGAGATGCAAATCAGAGGATCGTAGTGCGCGGCGCTGCTGAGTGGCTCTTTTAGTACCGTCCCTCTCCATCAGCCTCCAATGAGAAACGCGGACGCGATGTTCACTTTAATATCGATTTTACTGCAAAAAGGACTTGTGAATATAACACAATGTAATGTCCAAACATGTGTATTAGTGAATTGCAGCCATGGCATTGCCTTTGTTTTAAAAAGGATGACTAGAAAACCCAATACAGTATATTGTGTTTTGAGCGTGGGTTTTTTTGTTTCTTACGAGGGATTGTTTCACCACTCGTCTAATACGGCGCACGGGCGTTTTATGAACGCAATTTGGAAAAATACAAGCGCTCGGTGGAGAAAAATAACTTCGCTGTTGTGCTGTACAGGTGGAGATTAGCATTCCGGCACGCTCCGTCAATTAGGACGAGTGTGCTGTAAGATTGTGGCGCCAAATGCTCTACGTAATATCGGAATCGGCTGCAGCTGGAAATAATTCACGCAAAAATACCAGAAATGGGTACTGTATTAAGGCGTTCAAGAATTACGCCTTGTTAAATGTGACGTGAATATCATGATTTCTTTCATTCATTCATGTGGAAGCAGATGAAGATTCGCCAACTCAACAAGCAAACGTCCAGCACGCTCACAACAACCCAGGACATGTGCTCCATTCAGAGCGTGTTTGGCAACACTGGCGCAAGCAGTTTCGAAGAGGTGGGTGGCTCTGAAAAGAGCCTTTGGGTTGGCTTAGTGTGCGAGAGATGGGCGCTCAGCCTCCGAAGCCGTAGAGAGTGCGGCCCTGGCGCTTGAGGGCGTAGACCACGTCCATGGCGGTGACGGTCTTGCGCTTGGCGTGCTCCGTGTAGGTGACGGCGTCGCGGATGACGTTCTCAAGGAAGACCTTCAGGACGCCGCGGGTCTCCTCGTAGATGAGGCCCGAGATGCGCTTCACACCGCCGCGGCGAGCGAGGCGGCGGATGGCGGGCTTGGTGATGCCCTGGATGTTGTCGCGCAGCACCTTGCGATGGCGTTTTGCGCCTCCCTTGCCGAGCCCCTTACCGCCTTTACCGCGTCCAGACATTGCGACTACTTGTGACAAAGCTCCTCGCGAGAGACTGCGCGCTCAGCTTGCAGCAGCAGCCGCCTTTATACCCGAAGCGTGGCGACGTCACCGACCACCCCTGCCCTCCGCGATGGCTCCGCCTTAAACCTTCCACCTTTAACCTCTGCGACGAAGAAAACCCTCCACCGTCGTCAATAACACTTCCTTGACATGTATAATATGCGACGTTTTGGGCAATGGCCCTTCTTCGAAGCACTCTGGAATGATATTGGCACACCCGCAGCGAACGCCAGAGGAACGCCATCTGTTGCAAGATTGCACGTGCAGTGAATAATCGGTGTAAGGTCTTGTTTTCAAGTGAACAAGATGAACTAACTTTATAATCGTGTGAAGCTAAACCGCTTCCAACACAATAGTTGAGTGAACGTCACCAACTAGTTGTCCCAAAGTAAGAAAGACATTGCAAACAATGCGATATTTACGTATAGTAATTAATTTAATAGAGAAGTTTAGATGGTGCACCGCAATGTTTACAAAACAAAAACAAAGTGAAAAGGCGGAACGAACGAATGAAGGCAAATGAGTAAAGCTGTCTGGAATCAATACATTTTGAGACTAAATTCCATATTTGGCACCAGTAGCATGATGACGGAATGAAGAGGTGCAACACATAATCAAAATTGGAGGTTCGTCAAGAATGCATCATTTTGAATCTGGATTTAGATTAGAATCGCCAGCGAGAATGCTGACGTCGCTGAGATTACTCTGCACTCAGTTCGAGTGAGGGAGCTGCCACCCGCCTCGCCTGTGTTTGTGATCCCTGCTTTCGGGCTCGATCACTCCCATCACATCAATGCTTAAAACACATCGAGTGGGTGAAATGTTACACAGTTAATTTGAACTAATTGAAGCGCAGCAGCATCTGGTTCACTTTTTTAACGAAGTGGGTGGCTCTGAAAAGAGCCGTTGAGGTGGAGTGAATCGAGCGTCGGTCGTCCCATCGGATTCACTTCTTTGGCGCAGTCTTCTTGGGCTTGGCCGCGGCCTTCTTGGGCTTGGCCACCTTGGGTTTGGCGGCCTTGGCCTTGACGGTCTTGGGCTTAGCGACCTTGGGCTTCGCAGCCTTGGGCTTGGCTGGGCTCTTCGCCGCCTTCTTGGGCTTAACAGCCGACTTCACCTTTTTGGGGCTCTTGGCCGCCTTGGCAGCCGCGGGCTTCTTTGCTTTCTTGGGAGACTTCTTGGGCGCGGTCTTCTTGGCTGCCGCGGGCTTCTTCACCTTCTTGGCTGCCGCGGGCTTTTTAGCTGCGGGCTTTGCCGTTGACGACTTGGGCTTCGCCTTTGCGGCAGCCTTTTCCTTGTTGAGTTTGAAAGAGCCAGACGCGCCGCTGCCCTTCACTTGCGCCACGGCGTCTTTGGCCACGAGCTTCTTGATGGCCAACTTCACGCGGGCATTGTTCTTCTCCACGTCGTATCCTCCGGCAGCAAGCGACTTTTTGAGCGCAGGAAGAGACACGCCGTTCCTCTCCTTGCTGCTGGCCAGAGCCTTGAGGATGAGCTCGGACACGCTGGGGCCGACCTTCTTGGCCTTTGGAGCGGCGCGCTTCTTCTTGGGGCTTTTAGGCGCTGAAGTAGCCGCAGCTGGTGGTTGAGCAGGAGCAGTTTCCGCCATCTCAAGACGTCGCTTTTATCGCCTCGCCTCTTGGAAACCGAAATCAGCGCTCTCACGAATTCGAACCGAGCGTCCTCCAGGCCCGAGGTTATTATAGAAGCGGCGTACTGAATGCGGACGTCGCTGAGATCATCCAGCACTCAGCTCTAGTGAGGGAGTTGCCTCCATACTCACTGTGTTTATCACGCCTGCCTTTGGGCTCGATTACTCCCGTAACGTTCATACTTACATGCATCTAGTTAATACATCATCACGAAGATCACTTCTTTAATGTACGTTACTTATGCAATATACGACAATGCTCACGATATAAATTATAATTCTAAACAAGTGAACAACCAACATTTGGGAGACATTGTTCGGTCAGGGCAAGATATGATGATTGTCGGTTTTCAAAAGTGTTACTGATGAACACTATTTAAAACGCACTCGAATTTTTTGCAAGACAAGATGCTTCAACAGACTACTCATATTAATTCCAACGAAATATTTTCTATTTAAGTTTTGCCTCGCGCGCTCGCGATTCCTCCTCTCGCGCTATGGTGAGGACTGCGCGCCATGTCAATCGTCCCTTGTCACCGAACTTTTAACTGGACGTTTTAATCGAACTTTGAAATGAATAAATTTATGGATTTTCAGATGGACAACAAACTGAAGAAAATTACTCAAAATTAACCGACATTATATGGAAAGTTTAACATTTTACGTGGCAAGAGATGAGTAGCTCACGCACTGCAGAAGGGTCGCGCGCCTTGAAGGCACGGTGCACAATCATCACCACTCAAATTCAACTCAAGTGACTCCGCAGTCGAATGTTTAAAGAAAATATATAATCTTACGTTTAATGCATTGACAGAGTTGATATTCTAGGAGCGCAGGATGGTTCATGCGATGAGTTGTTTTTACTGCAATAAGTAACACGTATTTACTGCACTAAGTAACACGAATGAGTAATCATTGGAAAGATGTTATTAACCATGTAAAAAATATTTAACTACACATATTTGTACCATCTTATTTGACAGGTAATATTATACTTTACGCGAGTGTTAACATCCCCAGCGTTTACCAGTACTTTTATGCTTACTATCAGCTAACACCGGCCACAACCCTGAGCTGATGTGCTCATTTGTTCTCTTTTAGCCCCGACACCCCCGCCACTTCCCGGCAACCACATTCAGATAAGCCCCCCTCTTCCCCCCTGATTTGTTATTTTATTATTTATATTGTTTTAGTTATTTATTATTATTGTTTTACCTACGTGACTTTACCGAAAAAACCTAAGAGTATGAATCATTGCAGTCACGAAAGCTACAAATTTAGAACGAATGCAATAATCATTCGTTCCACGCGCATGTGAAGAGGCGTAGTAGATTGGTTTATGCACTTCTGGTAGGAACGAAGTGGACCAGACTCCAATAGATTATATCGTGCGTCCGTTTGTCCGTCCGTCCGTCCGTGTGTCAACATCGCCCCCTACTGCAAACACTTGGCATGACCCTACAAAAACATTTAGACTCAGTGACGCTATCCTGGCTAACCAAGTGTAGCATTCCCTTATAATTCCCTCAGATAGCTTTTAATTACAATGTTACACTCCCTGATGTTTTTAAATAGCAACATTGACATTTAAAGCTTCAACATAAATAATTAAAACATTTATATTAACAATTAACCCACGGCGGCCTAAGGCCTACAGCTAGGCCTAAAGCCTAGACCTAGGCCTCAAGCTCTCCCTTCGTATAGTTCCCCCGCGTGTGTGAAAGGGAGTAAATGGTTAACAAGGTTACATTCCCTGATGTTTTTTAATAGAAACATTTACATTTAAAGCTTTTTCATTAAAAACAACTCCCTACCTCCCCCCCCTCGTCGGCGGCTCTCCAGCCGAGCCAGGCCTGGGAATCTCTCCCCCGCTCGGGGTGTATTGGGCGGGGCTACAGCGGCAGGGGGCGGGGCTACGCGGCAGGGGGCGGGGCTACGCGGCAGGGGGCGGGGCTACGCGGCAGGGGGCGGGGCTACGCGGCAGGGGGCGGGGCTACGCGGCAGGGGGCGGGGCTACAGCGGCAGGGGGCGGGGCTACCGCGGCAGGGGGCGGGGCTACGCGGCAGGGGGCGGGGCTACAGCGGCAGGGGGCAGGGCTACGCGGCAGGGGGCGGGGCTACAGCGGCAGGGGGCGGGGCTACGCGGCAGGGGGCGGGGCTACGCGGCAGGGGGCGGGGCTACGCTGCAGGGGGCGGGGCTACAGCGGCAGGGGGCGGGGCTACAGCGGCAGGGGGCGGGGCTACGCGGCAGCGGGCGGGGCTACAGCGGCAGGGGGCGGGGCTGGGCGGGGCTGGGCGGGGACACCGAGATGGGGCGGGGCCACGGGTGGCGGGGCGGGGTTACGCGGGTGGAGGGCGGGGCCACGGGGGCGGAGCGGGGCCACGGGGGAGCGGGGCGGGGTCAAGCGGTGGGAGGCGGAGCTTAGCGCGATGGAGGGAGGGGCCGTTGGCGAAAAGGGGCGGAGTCTACAGTCGAGAATACAGTACCGGGGGCGAGGAGGCGGGGCTAACAGTGATAGGGGCGTGGCCCACGGCGCTGCATCTCGTTCAGATTGTTACTACTCACTGTGTCTGCTCCAAGCTGCACTCACGTAGGTACATACTTGTGCAATACTATTATTTTTTTGCAGAACGGTTACTACTACTTTATTGTTTCTTATGTTCCACTACGTCTACGTTTCCATCCACTCATTGGCGCCCATTTTTTGCCATTTCATTTTATTATAGCCATTCAATTGTTCGGTCCTACCAGCCCACCCCACAGGGACCTGTTTTCACCAACGCACAGCAATATTCGTTCCAAGACCAACCCCGGGCACACGTCCCACAGCCCCTTTTAACTCCTCAATCTCCGCAACGCACAGCAATATTCGTTCCAAGACCAACCCCGGGCACACGTCCCACAGCCCCTTTTAACTCCTCAATCTCCGCAACGCACAGCAATATTCGTTCCAAGACCAACCCCGGGCACACGTCCCACAGCCCCTTTTAACTCCTCAATCTCCGCTCCCAATACACATTCGCGTCCAGCACGCCTGGTCCTGGTGACGTCACTGCCCTTTAACCCCTGACCCCCCCGTCCAGCTCTTATTTCCCGCGCGTGTGTGAAAAAAAATTAAGATTGATTGGTGCGTGTTGTCGTGAGAGCGGAGATGTCGTGTTTGCGTGGTGCGTGAGGGTGGCTCGCAGATCCCTTAAAGTGCTTGAACCATTCTCCGACTCCTCTTCATATGTAATCTGACCGCTCAAAAAGAGCGAGTTTTATTCTTTAAAAAAACACGATACTTTCTTCCAATAGGCACCTCAATTTATTCTAAACCATGTTCCATGATTGATGCAATGTTGGAATGCTGCTCAAATACCGTTCCTAAATTAGACATAAAGGGTATCTGGAACGAGCAGAGCATTCGTTTAATTGCGAGCAATTTGGGACGAGGGCAACTCGACGACGGTGTCCTTATTAATAACAAAACCCCTGTGCACGACTGTCCGAGCTCTTTGCAAGCAAGTGGGTGGCTCTGAAAAGAGCCGTTGTTGTGGTGGTAGAGGCGGCGGCGCGTTCACTTCTTTGCCTGAGAGGTCTTCTTGGGCAGCAGCACGGCCTGGATGTTGGGCAGCACACCGCCCTGGGCGATAGTCACGCCGCCCATGAGCTTGTTGAGCTCCTCGTCGTTTCGCACGGCGAGCTGCAGGTGTCGGGGGATGATCCTCGTCTTCTTGTTGTCGCGGGCGGCATTGCCAGCCAGCTCGAGGATCTCGGCAGAAAGGTACTCGAGCACGGCGGCCAGGTAGACGGGTGCTCCAGCGCCGACCCGCTGGGCGTAATTGCCCTTGCGGAGCAGCCTGTGAACGCGACCCACGGGGAACTGCAGGCCGGCGCGGGAAGAGCGGGACTTTGCCTTGGCGCGAGATTTGCCACCGGTCTTGCCGCGTCCAGACATCGTTAAGGGACCTAGGATGCAAAAAGCACTGGAGACAAAGTACGAACGATTTGTGACGTTAACACGCACCACGGGAGCGGCTTTTATAGCGGAGACGAGGATCGTAGAGCGCGCCGCTGCTGATTGGCTCCTCTCGCTCGAGTCCCGCCCTCTCCTTGAGCCACCAATGACAAGCCGGGACGCGAGGATTCGATGTTGACTTTCATTATTTGTATCCATATATATTTTAATGCGGACACGCATCTTATGAATTAAACAATGCGATACACGTACTTAATAGGTTCAAGTTTTAAGCATGATAGAGTTAATTCATGGGCGCGTGCTGGCAAGTCAAACTTATAAGCGGATTCCGCAAATATCAATGTATTATTGATTATAATCATCATTTTGAGGGACCGCATTGGTTATAATAAATCATTGTGATAGCCTTGAGCTCGTGATTGATCGCCCACGTGCCTATACGGTGTATAGATATTTTCTTTAACCGCCTGTTCGGGCAATGCCTAAAAATATATGTGCGTGAATAATTCAGTCTCAGTTTGCAAAATGTGAACTTCTTATCAGCTCGGGCTTGAAACAACATGAACCAATATCTTTGGGTTTAATCTATATATATAAAATCGTGAATGTCTGTCTGTCTGTGTGTGGATGTCGGACCATACGCACTTTCATTGGACGCCGGTTGCCCCTGGCAACGGCTAGCGACGGGCTAGCAGTTGCGGGGTGGACGCCATCTTTAATTCCCGTTAAAAATAGGCGCACGCATTAACACGCGACTCTGAGGTAAATTCATCTAAGTTTCACGTCCTCTTTACTCCCCCCCCCACCACAATGTGTGCTATTACTATTATAGGGTCGGTAGATTATAAAATTATAGCGATTACACAGTATTATTGAAGCGCGGGGGGGGGGGGGGAAACGGCACCCGTACCCAGCGTCAGCCGGGTGGCAAAATCAGGCGAGGCGGGAGGCTCTGCACGGTGCTAGGCCTCCACACCACCACGCGACTCCGAGGTAAAATACATTTCACCAAAATAACTCTTTTGTTGTACATTATGTAAACATGGTTTCACAACGCTTATACACAACACCAACGTGTGATGTTGCAGAATGAGCGGCGGGGTATAGAAAATGAACTTGATTGTCGCTTACGCCTGACGACTCGTGAGAGCCGTGACCAGCAAACGAAGGTTTCCGGCACCCGAACTTTGAAGGACACACATGGAAGCTTTCTCACGAGTAAGTGGTGGCTCTGAAAAGAGCCTTTGTGTTGTGCTTTGAGGGCCGAGCTGGGCGTTCAAGCGCGCTCGCCACGAATGCGGCGGGCGAGCTGAATGTCCTTGGGCATGATGGTGACGCGCTTGGCGTGGATGGCGCACAGGTTGGTGTCCTCGAAGAGCGCGACAAGGTACGCTTCGCTGGCCTCCTGCAGAGCCATGACAGCGGAGCTCTGGAAGCGCAGGTCGGTCTTGAAGTCCTGCGCGATCTCCCTGACGAGGCGCTGGAAGGGCAGTTTGCGGATGAGCAGCTCGGTGGACTTCTGGTAGCGGCGGATCTCGCGCAGAGCGACGGTGCCGGGCCTGTAGCGGTGAGGCTTCTTGACGCCGCCCGTGGCCGGAGCGCTCTTTCGGGCCGCCTTGGTGGCGAGTTGCTTGCGGGGGGCCTTGCCGCCCGTGGACTTGCGAGCCGTCTGCTTGGTGCGAGCCATGGCTTGGTGAGGGCAAAGATTCTCACAGGCGGGGAGGAGAAGGCGGCTTATGTAGCCCAGAGCGCGCGCTCACTGGTCAGCGGAGTCGTGACGTGCGAAGAAGGGGCGCGTGCTGATTGGTTGGCAGCGTGCAATGATCTCGAGTCGTCAACTCTTCTTCATCAACGAAATGTTCTCACTTTGGAGCATTGCAGAATGCCGCATCACGATGCAGTAGTTCCGTTTGAGCGCCGTCCATGTCCTTAACGGATGTTCTTTTCTCAAGCAAACACCTTTCCGAAAACAACTTTACAGTGCTCCGCATGATCTAAATAAAGTGTGAAGAAACTGCACTTCATTGGAAGCAGTAATACGTAAAAAATATTCTTTGGTTCTTTCGGTAAAGTCACGTATAAAGAAAAAATAATATATTACAGCATACGACGTTTCGATTGCAACACAAGCAATCATCAGGTATAATGAAATAGCGACATAAAATCGAACCAGAAAAAAATTATAGACAGACATATAAGCAGACAGATATCACCAATTTGTTTCTTTATATACGTGACTTTACCGAAAGAACCAAAGAATAATTCCTGCAGTCACGAAAGCTCCAAAGTTAATACGTAAAATTGTCGGAAAGAGGTGATCACAGGGATAGATATCTATTCTCTTGGCATTGAGATGATGATCATCAATTATACTGCACGAGTCATCCATGCTAGGCGCTTACTTTTACATAGATGTACACGTGCAAAATGTTAGTTCCTGCCCGAAAATACAACCACGAATTAAATATATTGCATTGCAAGGTTTTGGCACCAAATATCCAATGTAATATCTGAATGGGCTGCAGATGAAATCAATGGACAAACAAGTCCAAGAAATGCCTGCTGGTGAACATGTGCCATGAATATTGTTATCGCTTTTATTCACGTGGAAACAGGTTAAAATGCGTTCCATCTCTCCATTCCACTCAATGAGCGAACAATGTCCCCGCGTGAACCGGGGCTTTGTTGGAAGTTTCGTTTAGTACTCCTGCTAGGACTGGTACAAGCAGGTTCGGAGAGGTGGGTGGCTCTGAAAAGAGCCTTTGTAATTAATGGTGGAGTCGAGGCTTCACTTGGAGCTTGTGTACTTGGTGACGGCCTTGGTGCCCTCCGACACGGCGTGCTTGGCCAGCTCGCCGGGGAGCAGCAGTCGCACTGCGGTCTGGATCTCCCGAGAAGTGATGGTGGAGCGCTTGTTGTAGTGCGCCAGGCGGGACGCCTCGGAAGCGATGCGCTCGAAGATGTCGTTGACGAACGAGTTCATGATGCTCATTGCCTTGGACGAGATGCCGGTATCGGGGTGCACCTGCTTCATCACCTTGTAGATGTAAATGGCGTAGCTCTCCTTCCTGCGGTGGCGTCGCTTCTTGCCATCCTTGCGCGTAGCCTTGGTCACAGCCTTCTTGGAGCCCTTCTTGGGAGCAGGAACCTTGGCCGGCCCAGCGCTCTTTGATGCGGGAGGATCGGGCATGTCGACGCGTCGTAGGCAGCAGCTTCAGGTCAGAACAGACGGGAAGCGAATGTGGATGTCGCTCGCGCGTTGAGCTCCTTTTATAGGAGGCGAGATGCAAATCAGAGGATCGTAGTGCGCGGCGCTGCTGAGTGGCTCTTTTAGTACCGTCCCTCTCCATCAGCCTCCAATGAGAAACGCGGACGCGATGTTCACTTTAATATCGATTTTACTGCAAAAAGGACTTGAGAATATAACACAATGTAATGTCCAAACATGTGTATTAGTGAATTGCAGCCATGGCATTGCCTTTGTTTAAAAAAGGATGACTAGAAAACCCAATACAGTATATTGTGTTTTGAGCGTGGGTTTTTTTGTTTCTTACGAGGGATTGTTTCACCACTCGTCTAATACGGCGCACGGGCGTTTTATGAACGCAATTTGGAAAAATACAAGCGCTCGGTGGAGAAAAATAACTTCGCTGTTGTGCTGTACAGGTGGAGATTAGCATTCCGGCACGCTCCGTCATTAGGACGAGTGTGCTGTAAGATTGTGGCGCCAAATGCTCTACGTAATATCGGAATCGGCTGCAGCTGGAAATAATTCACGCAAAAATACCAGAAATGGGTTCTGTATTAAGGCGTTCAAGAATTACGCCTTGTTAAATGTGTCGTGAATATCATGATTTCTTTCATTCATGTGGAAGCAGATGAAGATTCGCCAACTCAACAAGCGAACGTCCAGCACGCTCACAACAACCCAGGACATGTGCTCCATTCAGAGCGTGTTTGGCAACACTGGCGCAAGCAGTTTCGAAGAGGTGGGTGGCTCTGAAAAGAGCCTTTGGGTTGGCTTAGTGTGCGAGAGATGGGCGCTCAGCCTCCGAAGCCGTAGAGAGTGCGGCCCTGGCGCTTGAGGGCGTAGACCACGTCCATGGCGGTGACGGTCTTGCGCTTGGCGTGCTCCGTGTAGGTGACGGCGTCGCGGATGACGTTCTCAAGGAAGACCTTCAGGACGCCGCGGGTCTCCTCGTAGATGAGGCCCGAGATGCGCTTCACACCGCCGCGGCGAGCGAGGCGGCGGATGGCGGGCTTGGTGATGCCCTGGATGTTGTCGCGCAGCACCTTGCGATGGCGTTTTGCGCCTCCCTTGCCGAGCCCCTTACCGCCTTTACCGCGTCCAGACATTGCGACTACTTGTGACAAAGCTCCTCGCGAGAGACTGCGCGCTCAGCTTGCAGCAGCAGCCGCCTTTATACCCGAAGCGTGGCGACGTCACCGACCACCCCTGCCCTCCGCGATGGCTCCGCCTTAAACCTTCCACCTTTAACCTCTGCGACGAAGAAAACCCTCCACCGTCGTCAATAACACTTCCTTGACATGTATAATATGCGACGTTTTGGGCAATGGCCCTTCTTCGAAGCACTCTGGAATGATATTGGCACACCCGCAGCGAACGCCAGAGGAACGCCATCTGTTGCAAGATTGCACGTGCAGTGAATAATCGGTGTAAGGTCTTGTTTTCAAGTGAACAAGATGAACTAACTTTATAATCGTGTGAAGCTTAACGGCTTCCAACACAATAGTTGAGTCTCCCAAAGTAAGAAAGACATTGCAAACAATGCGATATTTACGTATAGTAATTAATTTAATAGAGAAGTTTAGATGGTGCACCGCAATGTTTACAAAACAAAAACAAAGTGAAAAGGCGGAACGAGCGAATGAAGGCAAATGAGTAAAGCTGTCTGGAATCAATACATTTTTAGACTAAATTCCATATTTGGCACCAGTAGCATGATGACGGAATGAAGAGGTGCAACACATAATCAAATTGGAGGTTCGTCAAGAATGCATCGATTTTGAATCTGGATTTAGATTAGAATCGCCAGCGAGAATGCTGACGTCGCTGAGATTACTCTGCACTCAGTTCGAGTGAGGGAGCTGCCACCCGCCTCGCCTGTGTTTGTGATCCCTGCTTTCGGGCTCGATCACTCCCATCACATCAATGCTTAAAACACATCGAGTGGGTGAAATGTTACACAGTTAATTTGAACTAATTGAAGCGCAGCAGCATCTGGTTCACTTTTTTAACGAAGTGGGTGGCTCTGAAAAGAGCCGTTGAGGTGGAGTGAATCGAGCGTCGGTCGTCCCATCGGATTCACTTCTTTGGCGCAGTCTTCTTGGGCTTGGCCGCGGCCTTCTTGGGCTTGGCCACCTTGGGTTTGGCGGCCTTGGCCTTGACGGTCTTGGGCTTAGCGACCTTGGGCTTCGCAGCCTTGGGCTTGGCTGGGCTCTTCGCCGCCTTCTTGGGCTTAACAGCCGACTTCACCTTTTTGGGGCTCTTGGCCGCCTTGGCAGCCGCGGGCTTCTTTGCTTTCTTGGGAGACTTCTTGGGCGCGGTCTTCTTGGCTGCCGCGGGCTTCTTCACCTTCTTGGCTGCCGCGGGCTTTTTAGCTGCGGGCTTTGCCGTTGACGACTTGGGCTTCGCCTTTGCGGCAGCCTTTTCCTTGTTGAGTTTGAAAGAGCCAGACGCGCCGCTGCCCTTCACTTGCGCCACGGCGTCTTTGGCCACGAGCTTCTTGATGGCCAACTTCACGCGGGCATTGTTCTTCTCCACGTCGTATCCTCCGGCAGCAAGCGACTTTTTGAGCGCAGGAAGAGACACGCCGTTCCTCTCCTTGCTGCTGGCCAGAGCCTTGAGGATGAGCTCGGACACGCTGGGGCCGACCTTCTTGGCCTTTGGAGCGGCGCGCTTCTTCTTGGGGCTTTTAGGCGCTGAAGTAGCCGCAGCTGGTGGTTGAGCAGGAGCAGTTTCCGCCATCTCAAGACGTCGCTTTTATCGCCTCGCCTCTTGGAAACCGAAATCAGCGCTCTCACGAATTCGAACCGAGCGTCCTCCAGGCCCGAGGTTATTATAGAAGCGTCGTACTGAATGCGGACGTCGCTGAGATCATCCAGCACTCAGCTCTAGTGAGGGAGTTGCCACCATACTCACTGTGTTTATCACGCCTGCCTTTGGGCTCGATTACTCCCGTAACGTTCATACTTACATGCATCTAGTTAATACATCATCACGAAGATCACTTCTTTAATGTACGTTACTTATGCAATATACGACAATGCTCACGATATAAATTATAATTCTAAACAAGTGAACAACCAACATTTGGGAGACATTGTTCGGTCAGGGCAAGATATGATGATTGTCGGTTTTCAAAAGTGTTACTGATGAACACTATTTAAAACGCACTCGAATTTTTTGCAAGACAAGATGCTTCAAAAGACTACTCATATTTAATTCCAACGAAATATTTTCTATTTAAGTTTTGCCTCGCGTGCTCGCGATTCCTCCTCTCGCGCTATGGTGAGGACTGCGCGCCATGTCAATCGTCCCTTGTCACCGAACTTTTAACTGGACGTTTTAATCGAACTTTGAAATGAATAAATTTATGGATTTTCAGATGGACAACAAACTGAAGAAAATTACTCAAAATTAACCGACATTATATGGAAAGTTTAACATTTTACGTGGCAAGAGATGAGTAGCTCACGCACTGCAGAAGGGTCGCGCGCCTTGAAGGCACGGTGCACAATCATCACCACTCAAATTCAACTCAAGTGACTCCGCAGTCGAATGTTTAAAGAAAATATATAATCTTACGTTTAATGCATTGACAGAGTTGATATTCTAGGAGCGCAGGATGGTTCATGCGATTAGTTGTTTTTACTGCAATAAGTAACACGTATTTACTGCACTAAGTAACACGAATGAGTAATCATTGGAAAGATGTTATTAACCATGTAAAAAATATTTAACTACACATATTTGTACCATCTTATTTGACAGGTAATATTATACTTTCGCGAGTGTTAACATCCCCAGCGTTTACCAGTACTTTTATGCTTACTATCAGCTAACACCGGCCACAACCCTGAGCTAATGTGCTCATTTGTTCTCTTTTAGCCCCGACACCCCCGCCACTTCCCGGCAACCACATTCAGATAAGCCCCCCTCTTCCCCCCTGATTTGTTATTTTATTATTTATATTGTTTTAGTTATTTATTATTATTGTTTTACCTACGTGACTTTACCGAAAAAACCAAAGAGTATGAATCATTGCAGTCACGAAAGCTACAAATTTAGAACGAATGCAATAATCATTCGTTCCACGCGCATGTGAAGAGGCGTAGTAGATTGGTTTATGCACTTCTGGTAGGAACGAAGTGGACCAGACTCCAATAGATTATATCGTGCGTCCGTTTGTCCGTCCGTCCGTCCGTGTGTCAACATCGCCCCCTACTGCAAACACTTGGCATGACCCTACAAAAACATTTAGACTCAGTGACGCTATCCTGGCTAACCAAGTGTAGCATTCCCTTATAATTCCCTCAGATAGCTTTTAATTACAATGTTACATTCCCTGATGTTTTTAAATAGCAACATTGACATTTAAAGCTTCAACATAAATAATTAAAACATTTATATTAACAATTAACCCACGGCGGCCTAAGGCCTACAGCTAGGCCTAAAGCCTAGACCTAGGCCTCAAGCTCTCCCTTCGTATAGTTCCCCCGCGTGTGTGAAAGGGAGTAAATGGTTAACAAGGTTACATTCCCTGATGTTTTTTAATAGAAACATTTACATTTAAAGCTTTTACATAAATAATTAAAACATTTATATTAACAATTAACCCACGGCAGCCTAAGGCCTATAGCTAGGCCTAAAGCCTAGACCTAGGCCTCAAGCTCTCCCTTCGTATAGTTCCCCCGTGTGTGTGAAAAGTAAATGTTTAACAATGTTACATTCCCTGATGTTTTTAAATAGCAACATTTACATTTAAAGCTTCAACATAAATAATTAAAACATTTATATTAACAATTAACCCACGGCGGCCTAAGGCCTACAGCTAGGCCTAAAGCCTAGACCTAGGCCTCAAGCTCTCCCTTCGTATAGTTCCCCTGTGTGTGTGAAAGGCAGTAAATATTTAACAATGTTACATTCCCTGATGTTTTTTTAATAGAAACATTTACATTTAAAGCTTTTTCATTAAAAACAACTCCCTACCTCCCCCCCCTCGTCGGCGGCTCTCCAGCCGAGCCAGGCCTGGGAATCTCTCCCCCGCTCGGGGTGTATTGGGCGGGGCTACAGCGGCAGGGGGCGGGGCTACGCGGCAGGGGGCGGGGCTACAGCGGCAGGGGGCGGGGCTACAGCGGCAAGGGGCGGGGCTACAGCGGCAGGGGGCGGGGCTACAGCGGCAGGGGGCGGGGCTACGCGGCAGGGGGCCGGGCTACAGCGGCAGGGGGCGGGGCTACAGCGGCAGGGGGCGGGGCTACGCGGCAGCGGGCGGGGCTACAGCGGCAGGGGGCGGGGCTACGCGGGGCTGGGCGGGGACACCGAGATGGGGCGGGGCCACGGGTGGCGGGGCGGGGTTACGCGGGTGGAGGGCGGGGCCACGGGGGCGGAGCGGAGCCACGGGGGAGCGGGGCGGGGTCAAGCGGTGGGAGGCGGAGCTTAGCGCGATGGAGGGAGGGGCCGTTGGCGAAAAGGGGCGGAGTCTACAGTCGAGAATACAGTACCGGGGGCGAGGAGGCGGGGCTAACAGTGATAGGGGCGTGGCCCACGGCGCTGCATCTCGTGCAGATTGTTACTACTCACTGTGTCTGCTCCAAGCTGCACTCACGTAGGTACATACTTGTGCAATACTATTATTTTTTTGCAGAACGGTTACTACTACTTTATTGTTTCTTATGTTCCACTCCGTCTACGTTTCCATCTACTTATTGGCGCCCATTTTTTGCCATTTCATTTTATTATAGCCATTCAATTGTTCGGTCCTACCAGCCCACCCCACAGGGACCTGTTTTCACCAACGCACAGCAATATTCGTTCCAAGACCAACCCCGGGCACACGTCCCACAGCCCCTTTTAACTCCTCAATCTCCGCTCCCAATACACATTCGCGTCCAGCACGCCTGGTCCGGGTGACGTCACTGCCCTTTAACCCCTGACCCCCCCGTCCAGCTCTTATTTCCCGCGCGTGTGAAAAAAATTAAGATTGATTGGTGCGTGTTGTCGTGAGAGCGGAGATGTCGTGTTTTCGTGGTGCGTGGTGCGTGAGGGTGGCTCGCAGATCCCTTGAAGTGCTTGAACCATTCTCCGACTCCTCTTCATATGTAATCTGACCGCTCAAAAAGAGCGAGTTTTATTCTTTAAAAAAACACGATACTTTCTTCCAATAGGCATCCCAATTTATTCTAAACCATGTTCCATGATTGATGCAATGTTGGAATGCTGCTCAAATACCGTTCCTAAATTAGACAAAGGGTATCTGGAATGAGCAAAGCATTCGTTTAATTGCGAGCAATTTGGGACGAGGGCAACTCGACGACGGCGTCCTTATTAATAACAAAACCCCTGTGTACGACTGACCGAGCTCTTTGCAAGCAAGTGGGTGGCTCTGAAAAGAGCCGTTGTTGTGGTGGTAGAGGCGGCGGCGCGTTCACTTCTTTGCCTGAGAGGTCTTCTTGGGCAGCAGCACGGCCTGGATGTTGGGCAGCACACCGCCCTGGGCGATAGTCACGCCGCCCATGAGCTTGTTGAGCTCCTCGTCGTTTCGCACGGCGAGCTGCAGGTGTCGGGGGATGATCCTCGTCTTCTTGTTGTCGCGGGCGGCATTGCCAGCCAGCTCGAGGATCTCGGCAGAAAGGTACTCGAGCACGGCGGCCAGGTAGACGGGTGCTCCAGCGCCGACCCGCTGGGCGTAATTGCCCTTGCGGAGCAGCCTGTGAACGCGACCCACGGGGAACTGCAGGCCGGCGCGGGAAGAGCGGGACTTTGCCTTGGCGCGAGATTTGCCACCGGTCTTGCCGCGTCCAGACATCGTTAAGGGACCTAGGATGCAAAAAGCACTGGAGACAAAGTACGAACGATTTGTGACGTTAACACGCACCACGGGAGCGGCTTTTATAGCGGAGACGAGGATCGTAGAGCGCGCCGCTGCTGATTGGCTCCTCTCGGTCGAGTCCCGCCCTCTCCTTGAGCCACCAATGACAAGCCGGGACGCGAGGATTCGATGTTGACTTTCATCATTTGTATCCATATATATTTTAATGCGCACACGCATCTTATGAATTAAACAATGCGATACACGTACTTAATAGGTTCAAGTTTTAAACATGATAGAGTTAATTTATGGGCACGTGCTGGCAAGTCAAACTTATAAGCGGATTCCGCAAATATCAATGTATTATTGATTATAATCATCATTTTGAGGGACCGCATTGGTTATAAGAAATCATTGTGATAGCCTTGAGCTCGTGATTGATCGCCCACGTGCCTATACGGTGTATATATATATTCCTTTAACCGCCTGTTCGGGCAATGCCTAAAAATATATGTGCGTGAATAATTCAGTCTCAGTTTGCAAAATGTGAACTTCTTATCAGCTCGGGCTTGAAACAACATAAACCAATATCTTTGGGTTTAATCAATATATATAAAATCGTGAATGTCTGTCTGTCTGTCTGTGGATGTCGGACCATACGCACTTTCATTGGACGCCGGTTGCCCCTGGCAACGGCTAGCGACGGGCTAGCAGTTGCGGGGTGGACGCCATCTTTAATTCCCGTTAAAAATAGGCGCACGCATTAACACGCGACTCTGAGGTAAATTCATCTAAGTTTCACGTCCTCTTTACTCCCCCCCCCACCACAATGTGTGCTATTACTATTATAGGGTCGGTAGATTATAAAATTATAGCGATTACACAGTATTATTGAAGCGCGGGGGGGGGGGGGGGAAACGGCACCCGTACCCAGCGTCAGCCGGGTGGCAAAATCAGGCGAGGCGGGAGGCTCTGCACGGTGCTAGGCCTCCACACCACCACGCGACTCCGAGGTAAAATACATTTCACCAAAATAACTCTTTTGTTGTACATTATGTAAACATGGTTTCACAACGCTTATACTGTGGTGCCACAGCGACGGGGCCGCTCTGCCGAGCCAGGGAGCCGCCCGGCTTCCCCCACCGCACTGCCCCCAATCACCCGCCCCACATAAGCACACACCCGCACGCATCCCCCCCCCCCCCCCCCCCCCCATAAAGCTGGAAGGGAAGGTTACCTGATCGACCGGTTTTTATCCGAGAGACCCTTATCGGGATTAATTCTCACGGTTTCCGGCGATCAGGGAATTGGATGACCTCCCCCGTGCTACGTGGTACCGCGGCGCTGCTGCCGGCCTTAATATGGTGTGGTCGCGGCGTGGGGCATTCGGCCACCGCGGTTGAGGCGCATTTCCCCCCACACACACCCCCACGAGTCGACGGGGCAAGCAGGGGAGGCACGGGACAGCATGAATAGCGGGGTCACAGGGGCTGTTGCGCATAGTCAGGGAGGGTTGGGATAATTGCGCTTGAGCGCGCAAGCCCCATTGGTAGGAAGGGTAAGGGAGTAATTAGGATTTACGCCTTGCACGCAGCACACTGATTAGCATATCAACAGCGCCTGGGGACTGCCGTGCGCGGGCTTGGGGTGCACGAGCCCATTGTTCAGCGCAGCATCCCCTTTGGGAGGTAGGGAGGATAAATAGAGGAGCGCAGAGGGGAAATCGCTCTCTTACTCCAGCGCCAGGCGACCAGACGCAGCTCGAGCCAGCGACCCGGACGTCCGTGCGACGCACCGAGGCACGCGGTTAACACAAGGATCAGCGGACCGCCGTGGACACTTAACAGTGAGTAAGAAGGGGAATTAGAATCATAGCCGATAAATAGGGAATAGGTACAGGTTTAGTGGAATAGGCCAGCCTCGTCGACTCACTGATTCAACATCAATTCGCAGGTGGCATATAATAAATCATTAATAGCGAAGCGTGGTCTCGCGTGATCTTGTCGTGCAGTGTGAGCGTGTGGGTGCGCTGTGTGCACAGTGGTTCGCCACGTGAGTGAGCGCTGCGCGGAGCTGAGCGCGCGGGTTGCGTGTGGGAACGCGTGTGGTACTGTGTGTGCGTAAGCTCGCAGCGTGCGTAATCGGCGTCCCCCAGGTGCGCGATCATAGCGTAATCGGCTGCGCATTGTTGTACGGTTTATCTCGCGCGCACGGCGGCGGCGACTTTAGTCGTTGTGTCGGCGTGTGCCCCGCTTGCGTGTGCTCGTTACGTGTTATAAGTGTGAACGCGTGTAGTACGGTGTAGGCGTAAGCTCTCGTCGTGCGAAATCGGCGTACCCCAGGTGCGCGATTGTAACGTGAGCGGCCAGCGCGGCGCAGAGAAGCGCAAGAGTGAGTGCCGTACGGAGCTGTGTGTGTGGGTGTGCGCGTACGTAATTAACCATGCCTGCTACGCGGACCCGCGGTGGAGTGGAATCCTCGGGCGACGGCTCCCACCCCATGGGTGAGGAACTTAGCAGCGGTTCGCTTAGCAGCGGGGGGGCGATTGATGATGCTAGCCCGGCCGTTAACATTATCGAGGGAGGGATCTCGGGGGCTAGCGACCCCCACAAATTGGTGTCAGAAGCGGTACGGACCCCCGCGTTACCTCACGCTAAAATAAGACTAATATTTACCGGCCGGGGGGCCCCTTCGTGGAAGGCATTCGCCCGCAATCTCTTAGGGGCCAAGGAAATTAATGGATGGACGGACGCGCAGGCAGTACGTCAACTTAATATGAATCTTGATGGGCGGGCAGCCGATTTTGTAGAAGCGTTACCCGCGAGCGCACAGACACAGCTAGAGGAGCTGATGCACCGACTCGATCAGCGCTTTGGCACGCGTGACGAGGAGGAAGCAAAATCGGCCTTAGAGGCGCGCCGGCGCCAACCTGGCGAAGATCTACGTGATTACGCCGAGGATGTGCGCGAGTTAATAAAGATCGCACGCCCGGGGTACGCAACTGATGTTATTGAGGAACTGGCCGCCGAGAAAATCCAGCGGTACCTGTCTCGCACGGCGTGGTGGCAGCCAGACATGAGCTGCCCACGTCTTCCCTTTAACACCCTTGTCGAGCGCGCACGTAAGTGTGAAAGAATTCACAGCGAACGCGCGCAGCTCCGGGGGCTGGGACGAGAGCGCGCCATTGCGAGCCTGCTCTCGGAAGACGAGGAGGAGGAACAGGAGCTCGCGAGGAAGGTAAGGGGCCGGGAAAGAGAGCCTCCAGTGTCCCGCGAGACAACCCCGGGATGGGTTGCCGGTATACAAACGGGTATAAAGGATGTCTCCGGCCAGGTAAACCAGGTACGCGAGGACGCAAATAAAAATATGAAGACCATCCAGTCTGAGATGGGTGAGCTACACTCCACAGTAGGGGGGCTGGCCGGGAAGGTATCCCAATTAGAGTCCGAGTTGGAACAACTGCGTACAGGGAGAGGGAGCGGGCAGGGGACCCACTACGGAGCCGCCACCCCTTCCCGGGCATGTTATGTGTGCGATCGCCGAGGGCATCTAGTGAGGGACTGTCCTCAGGTCGCCCGAGCTAGACAAGAGCTAAGGTCAAACACTAAGGCCCCCCTAGAGAGGGGACCACCGGGGGGTGAAATCGACGTAGCCCCGACACAAACAAGCTGTGAGAATAATGGCGAGCGAGTGATCTCCACACAGGTTCCAGCAACAACGCCCACAAAAACGGTGACTCCTGGCGACTGGCTACGGGAGCTGGTGGCGGGGATCACGGGGGCCACGTCGCTGGTGGAAGGGGAGGTAAACGGAGTGCGTACCCGCATCCTACTGGACACGGGGGCGGTGGCCTCGCTCGTGAGCGCAGCGCACTGCAGCGCGATCGGGGTCGACGTGCGTCACCTGCAGGCCCCGGACCGCGCGCTGCACACTGCGAGCGGAGCCGGAATGGGGCTGCTGGGGAAAGCCACCCTAGAGGTCCGCATAGGCAGCCAGGTGTGCACGCAGGAGTTCTACGTGTCGAGTGCGTTGTGTCACGAGTGTATCGCAGGCACCGACCTCCTAGAACGGTTGGGACTCAACGTGCAACCCCGCCAGCGATGCGCCACCATGGAGAGCAACGGCGAGCGGATACCGTTCCTGGGACGAGAACCAACGCGCCGCCGCTTTGCACCTGTGGCCGCTATCCTGGCGACGGCAGTCACCATCGGCCCGCTCACCGAGATGCTGGTGCCGGTGGCAACATCCCCCACCGACCCCGCGCTCCGACCATCAGGGGAGGTAATGCTAACTCCTCACCCGGAGTTGGCAAAACGGTATGGGGTTGTGGGATCCGCCACGTTGGTAAACGCAGATGGGGACCGATTGTTTATGCGGATGTTTAACCCCCACAATACCCCCGCGATACTGCGACGGCGCACCCCGATAGCCACAGTACACCCCCTGCACGCACGCCACTCTAACGACTCGGTGTTCGCACTCTGGGCTGAGGACCCCGGTCGTCCTGAGGGTGAGCAGGACCTGGCCTGGCGAGTCGGCCCGACTCCCCGAGCCGAGGTCGTTCCCCTGCTCGACGCGTTACATGTACCATGGGCGGACTTACCTAAGGGAGAGGCCGATCGGCTGCGCGAGTTACTGCGGGAGTATGCCGACGTGTTCAGCGAACACGACTCGGACGTGGGTCGGACCGACCTTGTTAAGCATCAAATTGACACCGGTGCAGCCCGACCCATCAAACTCCCTGCGTACCGAGTGGGCGCACCCGAACGCGCCCAAATCAAAGAGGCAGTTGGGGACATGCTTCGCGATAACATAATTCAGCCCTCGGCGAGCCCCTGGTCAGCCCCGGTGGTACTAGTAACGAAAAAGGATGGGTCAACCCGGTTCTGCGTCGATTACCGTAAACTAAACGCAGTCACGCTCGGCGATGCCTTCCCCATACCTCGCATCGACGACACCTTCGACAGTCTCGCAGGAGCGCGGTATTTTTCCACCCTCGATCTGGCGTCCGGTTACTGGCAGGTGGAGATGACGGAGGAGGATCGGCCAAAAACAGCATTCACCACCCCGATGGGCCTGTTTGAGTTTCGAGTGTTGCCGTTCGGACTCACTAACGCGCCCGCGACGTTCCAGCGGTTGATGGAGTTGGTGATGCGGGGCTTGCAGTGGGAACAGTGCCTGATTTACTTGGACGATGTGATAGTGTTCAGTAGATCTTTGTCTGAGCATTGGTCCAGGCTTCGAGAGGTGTTCCAGCGACTGCGAGCGGCTCATCTCAAGCTCAAGCCACGTAAGTGTTACATCGCACAACGCGAGGTGGGGTACCTCGGGCATCGCGTCAGCGAGGCAGGCGTGCGCACCGATCCGGAGAAGGTACGCGCCGTAGTGGAGTGGCCACGGCCAAGGAATCTGACGGAGATCAGATCATTTTTGGGGCTCGCCACCTATTATCGTCGATTTGTAAAGGGATTCAGCGAGATTGCACGCCCCCTCACCCAACTCACCTCCCCTAAGCACCCCTATCAGTGGACGGGGGCCTGCCAGACGGCCTTCACCACTCTCAAAGACCACCTCACCCACGCCCCCACCCTCGCTTTCCCCGATTTTACCACCGATTTTATTTTGGACACCGACGCCTGCAGCAGCGGGCTGGGCGCGGTGTTGTCACAGGTACAGGATGGGACGGAACGAGTCATCGCGTACGCCAGCCGGACCTTGAGTGGGGCCGAACTGAACTATTGCGTGACCCGCCAAGAGTTGTACGCCGTGATTTTCGCATGCAAACAGTTCCGGCCGTATTTGTACGGCAGGAGATGTCGCGTACGCACTGACCATTATGCTCTGCAGTTTCTGCTTACATTCAAGGAGCCGCGGGGGCAGATGGCCCGGTGGTTGGCGCAGTTGCAGGAGTACAACCTGCAAATCGAGTATCGGGCTGGCCGGACGCATGCAAACGCGGACGCCTTGTCGAGGCGACCCACGGTGTACGCCGAGACGAGGGCGGAGGAGGCCTGCCCGTGTTTCACGGGGGGACGCTGCCGGCAGGCAACGGACCCCTGAGAGGCCGCGGCCACTGACCCCCCCCCAGCGAGAGAGAGGGCAGTGTGCGCCACGGAAACCCTCACAGGTGGCACTGAGGATCCCGTCGACCGCCCGGCAAGCGCGGGACCCGCGGCTCGGGACCCGATT